GCCCCTACTTGGAGAAAGGGATATGCACTTAACAACTGCGTCAATAAAAATATTGGCAAGATTGCCAACGATAGGTACAAGTAGGATAGTTAACATCTCCAGGCAAGTTTTCATAGCAGATTTCCTCTTGGTTTCTTGCTTGTTTGCTGTCATACATTTAATGTCCAATGCTTAATATGACAAGCTAACTATGGCACTTCTTCAAGACTGTATAAGTATCAGGAAAAAAAATAATAATTCAGGGATGTTCACTGGGCTTGCAATTACTTTGCAAAATGTGTATGCAAACAAACTAGAATTGGGACCCTCAACATGAAAGTTGTTGGCAAGATAGGATTACAGTAGATGTGCCCAACTGTCTATTCCAACTGGGCATCACTATCACCCTCTTCTAAGGTCTTCTCTGCAGCTCAGAGGAGGAACTTTTCTCAGAATCCTCTTGGTGCATGGTTCTAGGTTAGAGTCTTGGACGAAGAGAGACACTGGAGCATGATTTGGAAATCTGAGAGCAGGAGGGGCAGGGCAATGGGTGGAGAGTGGCAATGTGTGAAGCAGTTTCCAAGTGAACTTGAGAATCACCCCATCCATGCTGCAGACTGAGAAAGTCAGTAGGAGATTCCCAGGTGTTCCTGAGACTCGCAGGAACTTTTCAGCATACTCCCAAGAATCACCCAGCTTGGTGCTGAGGCTAAGACTTGGGTGGTGGCTTCATTGATTGTGTAAGCCTTCTATTTCGTGTGTCTTCTATTTTCCCTGTCTGAATTCAAACTGATATCAGAGCATTTTCCCTTTTGGTTTTTCAAACTTTCTCTGCTCCAGAATTTATAGACCTGTAATCTAAAAGAGGGGAGGTCACGGGAGTAACACAGACAATTCTCTTGACAGAAATAAGCCAGGATGCTGTACTTCACTGCAGCCTTAACACAGGCTATGGAAATTCACCCCAGGCAGGGGACATTTCCAGGCCATGCCTCTTCCTGCACGTTCTCTCCTCTTTCCTCTAGCACAAGGCCACAGGTTAGTCCCACCTGCACTTGCTTCCTAGGTCCTTTGTGAAAGACAAAGGTCAGGAGTGGCCTGGGAATCGAGGACACAGAGCTTTGATTCTTTTTTCCTTGCCTCTGTTGCTGAGTGACTCAGTCTCTCCAGTGATCCTTGGTGTCTTTCTCTAGTAAATGGGAATAATAATATCTACTCTCTCCACTTTATAGGGTTGTCTTAAGGATAATTTGGTCTATATTCTAACTAGAAATGTTTTCCCCAAAAGACACAATGGTCATAGAAATGTAAATTATACTTCTAACAGCTACCAGATAAAGAGTGGCAATACATGGCATGCAGGGGTATGTCGTGTGCACACAGCGTATTTAAAGACATTTCACCAGCAAACATTTCAACATTCCTCATAACGTGGATATCCACTGAGAAAATAGCATGTAGACTGCTACTAGGTAGCAACTGAGATCACTGACACAGCCCCATGCCCCCCATACTCAGAAGACACGCTCAGACCTGGGACGAAACTCGCAGAAAAATTTCAGGTGAACTAGTCTATAACCATGTGTATACCACAACCTACATCTTACTGAGAGTCCAGTCCCTTCTTTAAGAACTTCTGTTCTAGTAAAATAATTCCATTAGTTGCTACAATTCATCCTATTCCCTTCCTACCATCAAAACATCAAAGTTTGAAAACTATGACATTATAATTAGCTACTTAGAAGTTATGCAGTGTGGCTAAATGCCGTCCAGCAATGACTCAAGAGATATGGCTCCCACCCAGGATGATTTAGGTTTCTGAAAGCAAGAGTGGAGTTCTGAGGTCCAAAGAGCGGGCCTTTCCCTTCAGTGTGTGCTCACCCCCAAAGGAAGACGGGTCTCCTTTCTTAGATGCAATCAAGTTACCTCGCAGAGATATCCAAGTTACTGCCTTTCCCCTGGGTTTCTATCACTCATCATTTACTGAACAAATATTTATTGAGCTCCGATTAAATAGAAAGCCCTGTGCCAGGCACTGCAGATACAGTGGTGAGCAAATAGACACAATCTCCTCCACTCCCCACAAGAGGTTATAGCCTATCTAGAAGACAGTCCCTGAACAGAGAAATCTGACCTAATATGAATGTGTAGGGTGGAATCAGAGGAGTCCTCCTTGGAGCTGTGATATTCAAGCTGACACCTGAAGAATGAGTAAGAGTCAGTGATACGAAAGAGAAGAAGGATTAGACTCTGTACTGCTCCTCAGGGAGCTTCTATTCATGAGGAATTTAAGACGTACATATACCTGACCTCTATCATACAAAGTAGAATATGAACACTTGCACTAAGGAGATAGAAACAAATATTATACGTACCTCAAGAAAGCGAAAAAATCAATATACATAAGATCAGAAAAAAAATCATGCAGGAAGCAACAAGTACTGTGCATTACTATCCCTATGATGTATGGATTATCTGTAAATTACAGATGGAAAAATAGAGTCCCCTTCTCCTGATGATTATTCTGGGCCAGGCTTCCTTTGCATTCGAATCTACAGTCCTTAGGACATGAATCTTGGGCCTATCATACTCGATATTGGAAGTTACATAAAAGGACAAGCAGAGGGAAAATGGCATGTATAGAAAAATAGCAATTTTCACATGAACTATTGCCCGCCAGTTTGTGTAGTTGTTCGTGTGGAATGAAAAGAGATTGGGAACTGGATGAATCAAAAATTATTTACAAATAGAACTTCCACTTAGGATTTTATAGACCAAGTTTCAGCCGTCATGGAGGATTTCACTTGGGAAAGAATTGACGCAATCCGCCTTCATGGTGTGAATGTATCTCTCTGGATGAGTGTTTATAAGCTGTTTCCATGAAGGTATTAACAAATGACACTCAAATAGTTTGGTGATTTATATGATCAGAAATTTAGAATAATTTCTTTAACTTAAATATAAAAAAACAAGATGGCATTAAGCGGTTTCATTCTGGGTGTTGAAAAATATGGCTTTCCCCATTTGTCATTGTGTGATTCATGCCAAGCTGAACTATATCAGGCTCATCCTTTCCCTATGTAGATTAGTCCAATGATAATTCAGCCTTAATGAGCCTCTTTGGCTCTCTTTTTTCTGGTCTCCTCATAACCATAGGCCCAAAGACCTGACCATCATTTCATGATGCTGACTTGCTTTTTCAACTTCCAAGTCCTTAGCACTGATCAGGCAACCAGTGCATTAAATGTGTAGGGGTATTCCTGAGTAAAATTGAGACATCTGTTGTTGGCTCCCTTTAAATAACATTTTTCCCATTGATGTTGGGCTCTGAGGTCATCCAAAGGTGCCTGTTTTCACTCTAATCACCTTAGGCATTTTTTCATATTCCAAATATTACTTAAAATAGCTTGAAAACTTATTGTCTTATATTCCATTTCTTCAAGGTTCAGATTTTTTATTTTACTGTTATAATTACAGATGATCTTTGTCCTGTTACTGATGATTATCATTTATTTTATCATGTCCTTCTCTTGTGAAATATCAACTGCATGGCCAGATCAACTTTTACACGTGGGCTTGAGGGCTCTGAGACTTCATTTCCTATGCAGTGTAACCAACCGGCTATAGAGTAAAATTATCCTCATTCAAATACAAGAAACCAATAAATAAATCCAAGAGGATATGATGCTAGGGTTAGTTTGTTATTCCTTCTACATATAGTATTATTATTTGCCCAGGGGAATTAAAAAAAAAAAACGATCTGTAAAGGGATATGTTCAAAACCTTCATAAGGACATTCAGCAAGGGAGACCTGTCCATTTCCCTCAAAATATAACATGCTAGCAGCTATTTTTATTTTACCTGCCTTTGAGAAAAATTGATTTTCACAAAATTGACACTTAATGAACAGAGTCACAATTGAACTCTAATTGAACCAACGTATATTTAAACGTAGAAAAGTTCTGCTGTGCCCAGACATCAAATACGCAACACAGGTCCAAGTCACAGACACCAGGAATCCTGCATTACCCTCTTGATCATTTCCTGCAGAATATAAATATGCCATTTGCCCAGAGCCCACATGTCTCCTTAGAGAGCCAGCTTTACCACTTTCTGGGCATCTCTACAGCCTTTTTTCCTACCCACCCATCCTGCACTGTAGCTGGGAATGACAAACCTGGAACAGTCCTTATTCAGTGTCCCCTGCATGTACAAGGGAAGTTTTCTGCTCAGGGAAATGATGTTTAAAGTAGGTAATGCCCTCAATCTAACCCTGTTCTTACTTACCCTTGGAAGGTAGATTCACAATTAGGAAAGGTGGCTGTAGTCATAACCAAGATAAAATGGGGTAAACAACTGATACCACATGGCCTCTTCCTGCCCTAACCAATTTCAACAAAAGTGATCACACAGTCCTTGGCCTAAGCAGCCAGCTTAGGGATAAGGCATTTTAAAATTATATTCCATGCATAATCCAGAAATGGCAATAGGAATTCAAGGTTTTGGAAGAAATGGGTGAGCCAAATTAATGTTTCGAGGATCAGAGAATTCAGGGAAATCTGCGCATTGACTCTCTCCAACATTGCCAGGCAAACTGGAATTCCTTTTAGTTGTAATGTAGAGTTCATTCATTTTGAAATTACAGATTTAAACTATTTTACTCCCAAACAATGATACTTTTACAAACATTAGTGAGTTTCCCAACTTCTCTCCATCACTTTTGCTGGAGGTAATGATCTACTCAGTAGTTTTTAAGTACTATAATCTCTTTATTTAAAGAAAAAAAATCACACAACTATATTATTCCATGGATTTATTTGCCTTCCCAGTAGACTGCCACTAAATTCTGTTTAATATGAGTTGAAATTGCTAGGTTTGACAGGTATGGTTTTCTCATCAAGGACTTGAAAAGCACTGTGTTCCTTCTAAAGTGCCGAGGCAGCAGTAATGAGCCCAGAGCTTTGCACAGCCAAGTGTCCCTCCCTGCAACCACTGAGAGCCATAAAAAGCTGAGTTTCTACCTCGGTGACTGGTGAGTTCCCTGGAAGCAGAAGGCAGGGGTGTGTAGTGGCACTCTGGAGAGGCAGCAACGCTGTCACTGGAAGCCTGTGTGATAAAAGCAAATGGCAACATGAAGCAACACCAAACACTAAATATCTTCGTTTACCAATCATGTCTGCTTGGGATCTGGGTTTGAAGAAAATATTATTGACCAAGACTCTTCTTAGGAAGCAAGAGTTGTCTCTGTTGAGATAATATTCTGGTAAATATAGGGTAGAACACAAAGCTTTGAGGGGCCCTGGTACAGGTGGAAGGCTCTGAGACAAGGGGACGGTTTGTTCATTGTGCTAAACCGGGAGAGGGAGGAGGAAAAGAGAGAGGTTGAAGGCAGGAAATGCTGCAGACTTCGATTTCTGTCACAGGCCTTCTTCCAGTAATTCCCACAGAGTAAATACTCACTGTGAGCACATTTCTACGGAAACCAGCAAAGAGGCTGAGGTTTGCCCCCAGGGTAGATGGGAAAAACAGGGCTGGTTTACGTGGGCCCAGTGGCATGGAGACAGAGAGCAGTTGAAGACATAAGACTCAGCAGCATGAAGTGACAGAAGAATATGAACCATTGCAGACTGTGCAACCAGGGTTCTCAGTTTAACAATAGCACTGAGAAACCCATTTGAAATTCGAAATATATGTAATGGTTATCAACAAAACTTTGCCATTCCAAGGCCTAAAAGAAAATTATATGAAATATATCTACGAAGATGCTTTTTTATTGTATACATACAGCTCTTTAGCCATCAAACTGTATATGGTATGACCCAGGCTGCTAATGTTCTCTTTTCCTAACTCTGCATCCAGGGGGGCTAAGGCAAGAACAAAGGACTAAGGCCGTAGGGTCAGTTGTCACTCAGAACCAATGACCAGTATGTCACATTCAGTGTGGCTCCCGATAGCAAGAAGTATCACCACTGCAGCTCTTACTGAGACTTCTAAATCAAATGCTACTTTTTTTTTAATATCCAAAAAAGAACATCTGCTAGGATCAAAATCCTAAGCTTACAACCTTTCCAAGCTTCATGAAAAAGTAAATTTTATTAATGCTACATTTTTCTTTCTGGGACAGGAAATACATTCTATGGGATATATTTGCCCTGCAGGCCTTTTCTCTGAAGAGATTATCTACATTATAGGAATCAAAACTAAGTAGGAGATTAGACCTACTTGCTAGAAAAACCCTTTAAACTCTGTTTCTGACATTTGAGATGTTTGATTAAGCAGCTTTCAGTGGAGACTTATAGAAAGTGTTCTGAATGGTGCAAAATCAGAAGCTCTGTCCCTAAGGTAGAGACATATTTCAGGTAGCATTACATCACTCCAGCTCCAAGGGAAATATATGGTGTTTAAAGCTTGATCCAAGGGTATTGGGTCCAGAAAGATAAAAGTTCAATCACCAAGAAAAATGTCTTAAAAACTTGCTAAATACTACCATCATTAGATATTTAGGATGCTGCAACAATGCAGGAGTCAGAAATTAGATTAAAATTCAAATACTAGAGTCACCACACGTTTCTCCATTTGGCATTCAAGGTCTCCTGTAATCCTTATATGATAAATGAGACACAATGACAGTGTTCTAAATATGGTGTCTTTTCAATGCTTGAGGTAGGATGTATGGGGTGGGGGTATGGGGTCATCCTTCCACGAATCTACCATACTTCTTCCATAAGAGGTCATAGCTTCTCTCTCTGTCAATGTTTCTGCTCCATCTCTTTGCTAAAAAAGCCTAAAATTCCAACATGAGTTTTAGGTTGCTCTATTGTGATATTTCTTAGTACTTTTAATCTCAATTTGGGCTGTTGACAATTTGATGACAGCTTTTCCTAAAATTACTGGAAGAAACTACCTTTCAGCAAATACCTCTGACTGGGCAAAACATTAGAGTTTTGCAACCAAGGGTAAAATAGCTACTAGTTTTATTTCCAATTGTAGTCAAAGCAGAAATTGTGTGGCTTGAGTTCTGTTTTACAGAATGCCTAGCATTTAATTACTTTTCTGCTCAGTGTCCATTTATAAACTCAAGTCATGGAAAAGAATATAAGAAAAGAACCATTTTGCAAACTACGTCTTTTGGTGAGACTTCCATGGCTGGATGTTTAGGAAAACTACTATAAATCAAGATTCTGACTACCAGTTCTTTGACTTGGCTTTTATTAAAATTAAGCCCATGTGATCTTTTCAATAGCGATGTACACACTTGTTCTCTGAGTATTATGCTGAGAAGCACGATTCAGAAAAGCACAATTATCATATGAAAAATATACACAAGACAATGTCTTAAATTTGCACTCTACCTGCCCAAGAATGAAGAACTCCCCCTTGAAACCGAAGCCATAAGCCATGGTATATCAAGTATGAGATAACAGAAACAGAAGTGGAAAAATTTAAATAATGTTTTCTTGTACCTGGATTAAGAAGATATGCCTAAAATGGGAATACGGAAATTTGGGTAAATTTGAATCATTAGAACTACAAATTTGGGTAAATCTGAATCATTAGAACTACAAGTATTCTCAAATCTTTGAGTCTTCTCAAATTTCCTAACTACCTATGTCACAGAATTATATTTCAACATTTTACTTTTTAAATCACTCCTGTTAGAAGATATTTGTAACATCTACAATAAAATATTACTAACTATAACACATATGTCCCTAAATAAATACAAATATAACAGAAAAATAAACAAAATAAATGTCAGGTAATTCTAACAAATATTTAGTCAATAAATAAAAGAGAAGATGGTAAAATTTACTAGTCCTAAAGGCAAGGCAAATTAAAACAACAAGATACAATTTTTCCACCCATCACATTGGCAAACTTTTTTAAGTCTCACAATAACACGTGCTATAGAGAACAAAAGGAAACAAAACTCTTACCCTTTCATCCCTTGCCAGTGGGAATGTACATGGGTTCAACCACTTTGGAGAGTAATTTAGCAATATCTAATAAAATTTGAAATTGGTATAGCAATTCCATTTAAAATATATACACTATGGAAAATTTCACTCAGGTCTGTAAGGTAAAACATAAAACAATGTTTATTGCAGCATTATTTACAATAGAACAAGTTAGAAATAATTCAAATGTCTGTCTATGAGGAAAATGGATAAATAAAATGTTGTATATTCATATGATGGAATAATATTTAGCAATAAACCTGATTTATACATCTCAATTTGAATAGGTCTAAAAACTTAATACAGAGTGAAAATGCAAGCTGCAAAAAGATAAATGTAGTGTATAATTTATGTAAATATACCGTACTTTGCATGTGTGTGTGAAACCATCTAAAATTTATATAAGTTGTACACTAAATTCACAAAAATGGTAGCCTATTCTAAAGGGCAGAGTAATAGGACTGGGGCTAATGGGATGGGGGGAGGTTCAATATTATATATAAGGTTCCTTTCTTTTATTTAAAGACAAGACTTGAAACAAATATGTCAAAATATTAGAAAATACAAATCCTGTATAGTAGTTGTATGTGCTCATTATTTTTTAACTTTTCTACATTTTGAAATTTCCTCTTTGATCCATGCAGTCCTATTGATACGAACTCATAATTAGAGGAAATTTCCTATAACAATTTTCCAGTACTTGCATGATATGGATTAAGGCCATCTCTGGTTGGCTTTTTGTGATGAAATATCCCACTTCTGTTTCTTCTAAAGATACTGACTATGACAATAGAATGGAAAAAGTTGTTAAACAATAGTAAATATGTATTTCCTTCACATCAAAGCTTGAACTGCTCATTCCAGCCTGGTAAGTTTTCCTGCTTAAGATTTGTCAAAGCATCCTGAAGGTTTCTGTGCTCTTCTACAACTCACAAATGGAGAGTTGCTAATAATTTTTTAAACTCACATCAATAATGATAATAATCACTAATATACTGCACTCTGCAATTTCCATAATGCAGGAAGGAAGATAGAACTTTGGCAATCTCATTGGAAAAGAGTCAATGAAAGTACAGCACACTCTACAAGAGACTTGCAAACTGAGAATTTCACTCAGCGGTTACAGAAAACAAACGTCTTCAGATGAATGTATAAAATTCAAGCCCCCTCCCATTGAGTGTGTTCAATGGAAACCTGCATTCCAGTGGATATTTCTGAACATCATGAATGCCCTGAAGGAACATCATACAGACCACAGGAGGAGAGATTTGGCAGGCTTCAAAACAAGAAAGGGGTAGCTACAAAGTTGTTTAATAGCCATAAATCTCCCACTATTTTTCACAAAATACCATCTAAGACCACAGCTCCACAACTCGTTCCCCATCGCTCAGCTCAAGCGGAGCGCTCTGGCATGCTCGCTCACCCCTAAATCATACGCCGCATAAAGTGATCCTGGGTCTGGGAAATTTGTCAGCCTCTTTCAAGTAAAAGCAATCTTCGCTTTTCATCACAATTCATTCCCTGAAACTGTGGTATAAAGCTGACTCTTCTAAAAACATTTATTTTCTCTCATAAGAAAAAACATCACTCATTTAGTTATCAAGTATTTAATAATCACCTACTATATGCCAGGCCCTGTGCTGAGAATACCAAGAAAAATAAAATGAGGACCTTGGTTGCATTCCCAACTCATCAAAAAAAAATATAACCATGATTAATACTGCTTATTAAGAGTTGCTAACTCACAGCATGACCTCCATACTCTGCATCATCACAGAACTTTGTCCCTGATCTCTATTATGACACTTGAACACATGAAACAGTAATTATGTCCTTGCTTGTTTCTTATTCCTACTAAGAGAGAGCTTTCAAGATTAACTCTATTAACTTTCCAAGATTAACTGTAGTATTAACCCTTGTATCCAACATGCTGCCAGAAATCAAAGAGTAAGAAAGGAAGGCAGAAAAGAAGTCAATGTATGATGCTTGGATGAATAAAACATTTTAATGTCAAAGATAAAACTACATACCACAATAGTAATTCAACACAAAAGTGTGAGCCAAATTGCCAGAATCAGAAGTAAAGACTTGGCGGCATCTAAAGGATTAAGTTAGAAGCCAAAAGACCAGCCTGAAGGTAGAAACTTC